CGTAAGTCGAATTTACTTGTCTCCAAATCTACTTGTCACTAGGCTAAACCATAAATTGCCAATTCCGGTTCTGTATTTTATTTATTAATGCATTTTTAATAATATATGGTTAATAAGGATCTATTTTAAGCTTTCAAACAAATAAATTTTAGTTTTTAATATAGTACAGAAAAAAGTAATCTAAATTTACGAATGCATGTACTGTAAATACAGTACATACTTTGTAAATGTATATATTTTAATATGATTTTATGTGCTTTAAACGTTTTAATAGTGATATTATGACTTCAATATTTGTGGCAGACAAACGTAAAGTTGAGTAAAATGATTTAAACTTGATTTTTATTTTTCCATATATTTTTTTGACAAACAACGTAACTCGAAACGACGTAAGTCGAGGTATACCTGCATTTGAGAGAGAGACATTTCATTTTATGATATATTTTTGTTATATGATACAATGTTCAGTAAGCAGGTTATAGGATTTCTACTGGAAATCTCTTCTTGTAAATATAAAATTTCTTCTGGAAATACTATTTTTACAGTTTTTAAAAAAATTTTAAATCAAATTTTAATTCAGAATAAGTTTAATTTAAGAAAATTTAATATTTTATATTAAAAGAAAAAGTAATTAGTCTATCAGACATTATGAGAAATGATTGATATTGCCAGAATCAATAATCTATTTATTATAATTATTGTTAAACCACAAAAACCTGAATATTGTTTGGCATTGACCCATAAAAAAACTTATTTCCTTATTTGCAGGAAATAACTATTTGTAATTTAAATGTAACATAACATAATAGGAAATTCATTATCAATTGACTTATATTGTTTCCTTTTTGAACATAAATAATTATTACACTTATATTAATATATAAAATATAATATTTATTTTTAATTTATTCATAAGTATAATATGCACAATACCTTAAAACAAAATAAATTTATTATATATGAAATCAAAAGAGTTTAGAAGTTTTCCCTTATATTTTTGTATATTGTGAATTTAATTAATAACCTGTCTTTATATATTTATGCTTATATTTGAAAGTAACAAATTTTAAGTTATAATTCTTGATGAAGTTATACAAATATATTTTATTAAAGCAAGCTTTGCCACAAGATCAATTTCTAGTTTATGTTAATAATTTTTTCCATCAATTTACCTGATATCACAATGTATAAATCAGGAAGATAAAATAATAGTAAATATTTTAGAAATATATTCATTCTATCTTGCGTGTTTTTATACTTAACGGGAATTGTGTTTAAATACCATTCTATACCTTTATAAAAAAATAATATTAAAGGAAAATAATAAGATATTTCCAATGAAAAATTACACAGTAAAATATGCAACATTAATATTGAAAATAGAAAAAATTTATATATAATAAGGTGAATTTTATGTAATACAGTATATATGTAATCAGAAATTGCAATATATATTAAAGAAAATAGTAATAAGAGAAGAATTCTGCAATATAAATTTCTTCATTATAGTTTGATGAGATATTACAACAAGAATTATATATATCAGAACATCACCAAAAAAAAAAAATCCTTGGCACTTCCTATTTTATTCTTTTTAAATGTTGTTTAAAAGAAATTCTACTATTCTGCTTTTCATTCTAAAAAATAAACTGCATTGCATACAATTCTCTCAATATCATGAAGAAATGTCATTTAAAGTCAATAATTTTGTAATACAATACATTTTGAAATAGCTCTTGAAGAATGATCTATCTGGAAATGATGGAAGCAAATAAGTAAAATCCATTAATTATAGATAAAAGGTGTCTACAGTAAAAAAAACTTGAATTTTGGGAAATACTTTCTAGTATACACAGAAAGTTTTGTAAGAATTATATATAGCCAAATTGCTTTACATCTAATCATTAAATTAGCCTTGTTATAATCTGATTAATAATCCACCATTAATTTGACTTTTTTTTTTCAAAATTAATGTTCTGTACTAATTGCTCAACATTTCCAAGTGACCACAATGTAATATAGGCTCATAATCTCATTTGCAATGCATTTGGCAAGGACATAAATCAACAGGCAGACCCACTACAACTGGTTGAAGAAATTCTAAGATAGAGATTACTTGCTTCAAGATGAATACCATCCAGGCAGTGATTCCACTATTGGGGACAATGTTTTCCTGCAACTGATAAACACTAATCTATGAGTGACCATCAGAGAATTAGCACAACAACTCAAGTGTTCCCATAGTCCAATACCGCCATGACAATGCACCAGTACATATATCAGAGATGATCTTAGAGAAGCTGGCCAGTCTGGACTGGTGGTTCTGCCTCATCCACCTTACAGTCCAGACTTGGCACTAACTGACTACCATCTGTTTCATGCCATTCAGAATCATGGTGCCAGTATACAGTTCAATGACAATACCAACATAAAAACAATGCTCAAGACTTTCTTCAAAGAAAACCCAGTAATTCTAACTCATGGGATTAAAAGTTTGCACAAAGGTAGCAAGATGTGATTAATATTGATGATGATTACCAACAAGATTGAACTGTAATCATTATTGAGTCAGTTGTCAATAAAGTTTTTTTTTCAAAATCTCTAAATTTCACTTTTACCTGATAAAATTTCTTAAACATACTTTTCTAACATATTTTCTAAAATAACAATTTTAGTAGTATATCTTCATTTAATTATTTTGATATATTATTTTTATAATAACCCTACTTATTATAATTTTAAGTAATAATGCAAGATAAAAAAAAGATATATAAATAATACTGCTAGCATAACTATTTGAATACAACCAAATTTTATAAATATTAGAAAAATGAATTAATTCTCTTTAAAAAAATAAAAATCATTAATTTTAAATAGGATAAATTTATATTTATTTTTTTAAATGTTAAAACAATTTCATCAATAATTTGACAAACTTACCCAGTATCACCTAGTCCATGAAGAAATATTATCTAAATATTTAAAGAAAAAAAGAAATTTAGAAATTGTTAAATTTAACATAAAACCAATTATATTATTAACAAAAATCTGTGGGCACCTTTTTGGCTGCTGGTATTAGCTTTTATTTAGCAAACACTTTCAACTAGTCTAATAGGTTATCCTCAGTCTACAATAGAATAAATAAATAAAAGAATAACAATGTTGTTATTCTTTTATTTGTATTCTATTTTGGAAGGGTACAATATGTTCCAAGAAAGATTGTAGCCTGAGGATAACCTATTAGACTAGGTTGAAAGTGTTTGCTAAATAAAAGCTAATCCCAGCAGCCAAAAAGGTGTCCTTAGATTTATTTTGAATTTTGCTGAGGTTAATTTAGATCACATTATTAACATAACAAAACACACACACACAATATGTTTATAAGCAGAATAAGTAGCTAAGATTACAATTAGTGGAAATTCTGGTTTAAATGACCAATACATTAAAGCAATTTTGAAACGCACAACTTATTAATTGATAATTCTTAATTATAATTCATTTTGTGTAGTTAACATAGCTGTGGAGTCAGAGTTGGAAGTAAATTCAGTGCTAAGAACCGGAGATGATAAAAATGGACAAACTCCGACTCCTGTTTTTTTTTCTTATTATGTAATTTAAATTAAGTTCCTAATAGGAACATTGACACCCTTGCACTATAGGAGCTTTCTATATTATAAGATAATTCCATTTCTTCATGTTCTTTCTTTGTACAAGGTCTGTTCAAAAAGTATCGGACCTTATTTTTTTCCGCGTAAACCAATGATGCGAGAGAGGCCTCCTTCGGTGGAGTTGTGGAGGGGACAGTCATGCACAGCCCTGAATTTTTTCCCGCCTGCAGGAAGCGTCAGTCGTTGGCAATCGGCGTATGAGTGAGGTCATGTAGTGCGCTCTCGTCGGATTTCACTAAGCTGGAAAATGACTGAACAACGTGAGCAGCGATATTACATCAAATTTTGCCAAAAACCTTGGCGATACCCGAGTGTAAACCATTCGCAAGATTCAGCAGGCTTTCGGGGACGATCCTCGAGGCCAAAAAAAGCGCGGCAGGTCCGCAGCAATATCAAAGGTCATGTTGACAGTTTTTTCGACTCTCGTGGGGTGGTGTGTCGTGAGTACGCACCACAAGGCCAAACCATCGCAAAGGAGTACTACCAGGAGGTCCTTCGTCGTCTTTCCGATACAGTGCGATGCAAACGATGGGATCTGTGGTCGATCAAAACTTGGCAGCTCCATCGTGATAACGCATCCGCCCATTCTGCGCATCTGATTCGGGCTTTCGTCGCCAAACACAATACTCCTGTGGTTCGTCACGCTCCGTACTCTCTCCACATGGCTCCGTGTGACCTTTGGCTATTTCTCAAGCTGAAAATGCCGCTAAAAGGAACCCAAATTTAGTCGAGAGAAGACATCATGCGAAATGCGACGGACCGGCTGATAACCAGTCCAAAAGATGCGTTCCAGCAGTGTTTCCAGCAATGGCAGGAACGCTGGGAGAAGTGTATACATTACCAAGGAGACTACTTTGAAGGGGATTAGGGTTTTGTACCTCAAAGTCAATAAATTTATTTTTGCCTACCAAAGGTCCGATACTTTTTGAACAGACCTTGTATAATCACTAGTATCTGTTTTCTTTTCAGAGATTTGTATTTAAACACATTCTGTGTTAGCTAACTTAAAATTTTTATTGTCAAAAGACTCATTCAAAATAGCCAAGCCTGGATTAAATCTAGTATTTTTGAATACTTTACTACAACCACAGATATGAAATATTTTGCATGTTGATGTGTATTTGATGATGATGATAGCGATAACGAAAAACAAAACTCACAAGTACTTACAGCTTTGACAGGAATGCCTACTTATTCCTTTGGAAGAAGAGATGAAATACTTTGATTATATTAATGCAAAATTGCATGTTTTAAATTCATTTTAAGATAGGAGTCATAGTCAAACCTTCTGAAATTGTGAGTCAGTTGGATTTCTGAAATGCTATAAGTTGGAATCTGGGGGCTTTGCCTATTGACTCCACAGCTCTGGTTGTTAACCTGAGTTTTTTCCCCCATCTTTAAAATAGCTGGCATATACTGTAATTGTAGTAAGAAATATACAACAACAAACTACTACACCTGGCACAAATAGAAATTAAAATTATTACTTTTAATGCACTGGTCAAGATTCATAATGATAACCGGTAACAATAGTGGGTTATCAGCCATATATTGAGATTGATAGTGCAAAATAATAACTTAAATGCCTATTTATCCAAAAGATGGTGATAACTATAAGCAAAACTCCAAATACATTAAGTAAAGTTTTGTAAATATAAAGTACAGTAACTTCAATGTTTTAGGAACATGCTAATTCCAATAATAATAATAATAAATTAATGACAATATCCATAATTACAATAGGTAAATTCTACTGTGTGCATAAGCATTGTATTTCTTAAACTAAAATTTTATAGAAAGTTTCAAAGTATATTAAGGCCATTATTCATATTAAGTAATTGATAGTGATTAATAATAACCTTAATTTTTATGTAACTTTAAATAGATTATTATTATTATTGCAAATTGTATATTAAAAATTAATTTAATATTGAAAAAATAGAAATTTTACTGCATTTTAAACAGGTATGAATAGTAGTGTTATGATTTATAACAAGTGCAGTTTTCAGAAGTGCAATTTGGATAAATATTGATAAATTTCATTTATTATTCATCCTTTTATTGCATCTTTAATTTCTCCAATTAAAAATATATTAAATATCTATCAATACATTATTACTTAGAAGAAATATTATATTAATCAATGTTATATAAAAGAAATTTGTAAATAGAATTTTCAAATCACCTTCCTTAGAAACACTTTATGCATCTATACACGTAATTTTATAATAATTTAGACTTTCAGAAATAAAAATATAGAAAACTATTGATAATAAATTTCTTAGATTAAGAATATCCAATCTTATATAGTTTAAAAAAAATTATAACCTTTAAAAAATCTCATACTCTATATTAAGAAAATTGATCAATACCTCATGCTTTTTTAAAGATGGATCAATAATAAACTGGACATAAAACAATTCATTTTTTTCTGACTTTACATATAAATATACCATATAGTATGAAGTCATTGATGAAAATAATAATGATCAGAAAATTTAAATATTTATTTTTAATATTGCATTAAATCAATGTAAGTATTATAATTCCTTTTCAAATGAGAAACTTTTCAAGGAAGACACTGAAAAATTAATTTTATGCCAATAAATCACTACATTTTTCTTTCTGAAGTACTATAAATATCACTCTCTTATTGAATTATTACAAGATTATTAATTCATATGATCTTAATGCCATTAAATATATTTTATCCTTGGTTATATTCTTAGAAAGCTTTGATTATATTAATACGAATTATTTTGTCTCTAATAATATTTTTACTTAACGAAATTAAGATTTTATTTTGTCCTATTTAAAATGTTTATTTATTATTATTATTTAAATTAAATTGAAAAAAAAAATTCATTAAAAACAGTTTTTAAAAACAATTCTCAATTTTGTAATATATATATAAAAAAAAAATAAGAATTAAAAGGCTTTTGATTACTTGAAAAATCAACAAATAAGTCTGGTAAATTAAAATTAATGGTTTTTATTAAAAATAAAGTATTTTTTAAAACTAAATGTAACATATTGCAATTATTAAAAATAAATTTTACTTCCTTGCTATTATGTTTGTTAAGAGAAATAATTAAGGAAGTAAAGAAATGAAATTATATTATTGTTATATGATGACATCCTTTATTCCCTAATTGTTTCTATGTTTGTTCTTAATTGTTTTTATATTGTAAAAAAATTAACTAATTTTCTTCATTAAAATTTGATATTATAATTATTTTTTTTTTAAAGACCCAACATGATCATTTTGCAAAAGAAAAATCTACAAAGTGATTAATGTTCTCGGATTTCTTTTTCCAGCATTACATAATTCATACTTCATTAACAAAGATGAGATACACTTATAAGATAGTTTCAGAAGGCACAGTAAAAGTTTTGGAATTACTGTAAGAAAAATAATATTCCTTTTTAATGGAATAAAATCATTCAAGCATTTGTATTTAACAATTCTTCTTTTAATTTTATGTAATTATTACTCCATTAAAGCAATATTGTTTTCTTAAAATCATGATAACATTTCATTGTTTTTCTCCTGAATTAAGTATTTCGGAAATGTTCTGCAATTACATTGAGAAAAAATAAAATTTTTACTTTCACTATTTAATCTCTTTTTCTTTAAGATGATAATTATTTTAAATAAAAGATTTCATGACATGTTAGAGTAATTCTATAATTCTGTAATTATTTGAGATTAACAAATCACAACTGTTACAAAATCTGAACTTTAAAATATTTGGAACTTTATTGGGCTGCAATTTGAAAAAATTGTAGACCTATAAATTGCCACTGTCGATCCATCCGTCTTTCATTAATCTCGAGAACGGAGTTAGACGAAAGATGAGACCAGGTACGAAAACCTTAGGAGCAGGAGGCCCGATTAACCGTATTTCAATTCAAAAATTTTTTTCTTCACTTTGAATACAACGAATGTCACAATTCACGAGCAGCATTCTAAAACAGAGCCCGCACACAACTATAATATACGAGACAATTTTCAAAAGATTAAAACACAAAAGAAACAACGTCGGATTATACAATAAGCACGTATCCGGGCCTCATCATTTTTGAAGGGCCTCAAACATCATACGGTAAAAAGATAAAAAGTTTGTTTTTATTTAAGAATTTTACTGTCTTTTTAATTTAAAAACACTTTTAACAAAATTACACTTAGGACTTAAAAGGAAAATATACGTAGCTACCGGAAAGAAATACTATTATTCTCGTTAAGAACACTTAAAAATCTTTTTATATAAACCGAATAATGTTATTCATTACACTGAATATATCTAGCATAACATTTAATTTCACAGTCAATTATTAAACCAATTGAAAACATTACCCAACAAGGATTTACATTGAAAAAAAAACAAATTTAAAATCACATTTTAGAACATCAATAATTTAATTCATCTAATCCATATACAATTACGCTGTGTATATTAATTATAATAGTACATATCTAGTGTGTATGTAATTATATATGTTGTGTATATAATACAATGATATTGATGCATTTTTTTATTCATATAAAACATTATATAATATAAAGAATTAAAATCCGCTTTGTTTAAACAAAACAAAAACTGGATTTGACTTTAGTCACGGTTAAACTTATCATGCATGAAGCTCGATATTTGAAAATTAGCATCATAAAAAAAAAAGATGCGTCACCAACGAGTTTGTGTGACATCACAATACAAAATAATAATAATAATTGTATTCTACTTTTACCATATAAATCAACGGAAAAAAAATATATGCTTCTCTTAACGTCAATCAAACTCATGCCGAGTTTCCTATTTATAAGTGTTTAAGAGACGAAAAGAAAAAAAATATATAAATAAATACTTACTGTAGCTGTGTGGTTATTTGTAGCAGGAACAACGATTGGAGAGGACATGTCCGATGAACTTCCTCCCATACAATGTAGAAAATTAACCAAACCAATTCAAAATTTGTATTCTTGATAAATTATCCTATCTAACTATAATCACTAAAGATGTCGCTCTCAATCAACACCGATGACAATTGTCAGTTGAATGACGTCATAAAGGAAATTAATATACGGAAAACGAAATTCCCGTGGTTCTTCAAGGACTTTAAAGTACACCACCTGGTGGTTAAAGATCTCAATTAATTTAAATTAGATGTATTTAGTGTTAAATTAAATTTTAATACGTTTTTAATTAATCTTCGTTAATTAGTTTATTAAAACGCTTTCGATCGAAAAGTTTATTTTTTTGTGTTTAACATGCATTTTAAATTAAAATAATTTGCACATATCATATACTGTAAATGTCTGTTTATAATAATTTATAGTATATTGCGTGCCGTTAAATAATCGTTGATTTGTTTTTATTTTTTTATTATTATTTTTTTAATGGAGACATTAAAAAAATAATTATTTTTTTCCTTTAAAAAGGAAAATAATATAGATTCGTATTAAATATACGAGATATATTTATATTTACTATGCTAGAAGCTCTCAATCAAGACGTACAATGAAAGAAAAAGATATTTAAAACAGCAATAATGAATAAATTATTTAGTAACGTTCGAACGGTAACCTCAATGAACGGCCATATTAGACTTTGATCTAGATCCATGGCAGACAGCTGTCGCGCCATCTCCAAATAATATTTTGTTCTATGACGAAACCCGCAATGGAAGCGGCGGGTGGTGAAAGATGAGGACCGACATGTTCGGGAGAAACCACTATGGGCTTGATGGCCGAGCGGTCAGGGTGGTAGCCCACCGCTCTGTGAGAACCGGGTTCGATCCGGACGAGTCGATAAATCCTCAGGAATTTTTCTGGCCCCGTCCCTCACCACCCGACCGCTCCATTGTGGGCCTGGCCAAACCCGTAATGGGCTTGTTTAAAAAGGCCCTCTTAGTGCCCACAGGGCGAAAAGTTTAAAAAAAATCATCCATTAGTTTTGTTGTCACTCATTACATCCGGTTACGACTTGACGTCATCATTAAACCTATCCTTAGGTCATTTGCAGTGGCGTGCCGTCATTGGAAGCGGTGGACGCGCCGCTTCCCTCGTATTTTCTAAAAAATAAATGCATATTAATTTTATATGAAAATAATCGGTCCCGGATAGAATTGGAAGCGTTACGAGGTATATCGGCATCCTCGGGATTTGGCAGCCCGCGTGCATGCACCTACCAGGATGGTCTCTGATTCCATCCATTAGTCACAAGTAGGAAGCTATTTGAATAAGTGGATTGTTTTAAGATTTAAAAAGTAAAGAAGATTTTATGTTATTTTTATGTACGTTTCTTTACAAAGCTATATTTAATTATAATCTTCTTTAAAAGTATATTAATATAATGAAGAATATTTTGTACCAGGTACTGTACGTATTGTACATTCACCACATTTTATTTCACCGGTTTTTACTGGCATATCGAACTAACGATACGAATGGACCCTTGACCGTCACTGACGCGCAAGTAACTGATTGCCCCTGGAAGTCGGCTTCTTACAGAAACACAGCTTCCCTACTATCAAATGTCACGGCACGGCACTGGTCATTTGCTATTTTAAAACGACGGTCCACCAGTGGCCAAGTGGTCTTCTTCGTTCCCTGAACACTGGGAGTTCGGTCTTGGGTTCGCGCCTCGCTCGGACGGGCTGGTCACGTGAAGTTTTCCGGGTTTTCTCCACGTCTGTAACACCTATATAGGGGCCAGTTTCCCTTAAAAAGACCTCCCGGAAGGCATCGCCCAAGTGTTGCGTTACCATAAGAAAACAAACATTTTAAAATTAACATAATGTGTAAACGCCACCCGGGAGGTCTTTTATGGGAAACTGGTTCCTATTTAGGTGCTACAAACGTAAACTAACCCAAAAAACACTAGTATATATATATACTGGTGCATATAAGACTCTTTTGGCACTACAGAACGAAAAGACAATCCCTTCGTCGACGTCGGATCGGTGAGATCCGCTCACTTTGTCACTGGATGGCTTAATCTATACTGTATATTGTCGTCGAGGTTGCATACTCAGGTCATGACACCAGTTTGATATAGTTAAAGGCGCGTCCTAACTCGCGAATGTTCCGATATATTCGGCTAAAAATACTTTCAAATAGGAGGGGCTCCTTAGTTCGAGTGGGAGGGTCGGCGATACACGAGATAAAGCAACCATTTAGATAACTTAATTTTAATATAAACAAAGGATTACAAGAGAATACAAGCAGGATTCGAATACTTAACGGTTGTTCGATTAAAAACGGGTCGTTAGGGACCCAACTTTCCGAGTGATTATCTATCTACTTACAAACTAAAGACCGAGAGAGAGAGAGTTTACATAAAATGGTTAAACATAATACCTCTTTTATCGTAGTGTCGGTAGAACGAGAGGTGTCTTCTTAGTTCGAGATGATAGCTACTGGCAAGGGGACGATCGGATGCGAGCCCTTTTTATTTTGATTTCACGTGGTCTAAGATCGAGATGTGTCACTGGTTCGACTGATACAAGCCATAATAATTTTACGATTCGGCCAGGTTGTTGATACTTTTTCTAGGTGTTCTAACTCTTTTTACTATATAAGGCAAACAAATTCGAGGTTCCTAGACGTCATCAACGAGATGTTATGACTCTTCTTACCCCCATAATTTAGTACCCTGGAAAATTTTCCAGGGTACTAAAATCTAAGAATAAATTGATATAAGAAGAATAATTTTTAAAAATTATCTAAATAATTAACGTAAATTGAAAGATGGCCAAAGGGCTCTAAGGACCTGGAAACGAATCCGTGCAAGAATTTTTTAAGGGTGGTCTATCCCGATATATCGAACGTCGCCACTCACCATTTCGTCCCCACACTGCGGATTCGGCCAAACCCACAATAGATATGGTAAAAAAAAGGTTCTCTTGGTGCGCAAATCGCGAAAGTAGCAGAAAAATAAATAAATAAATTGAAAACAGATAATGATTGATTCATTTATTAATTTAATAAATGAAAATAACGCAAAGACTTTTTTAGAAATAAAATCTCATTTCCCTTAAATTTGCACCTTGATCCATAGTATAATTATAATTTACTTGATAGAAGAAATCACACGTTATATAATTACTCATTATGTAATCTTGAATTAATTTTTCTTCTGTCTTGGTTAAGATATTTCGTCTTGATGATATCCATAAACTTCGAAGATTAGTAATTTTATCTAAAACTGAATAAATGGACATTTTCGTGATATTATCGCAATTACATATAATTATATAATTTACGTTTTTAAGTACAGGAATAATTTGAAACATTATTGCATCTGTTAAACATAACGAAGACATTACGATCAGTTCCATCAAATTTGGAGAATTTCTAAAAATAGATGCAAGACAATCATCCCAAGGTTTACCAAGCAAATTCTTCAATTTTAAATAATTGAGAGAAAGTAATATCGGTTTGATTTCCCCCGATAAATCCTGTCTAAAATAAAGATGTCGAATTGAATATAATTCTAGAGAACGAAGATTATTGCAATACTTTCCAATCAAATATGCGTTAACGTATTGGAAATTATTTAATCTCAATTCATCTAATTGTTTTCCTGATATCACTAGAAGATATATCACACCATCTTCGAATGTTAGCATTTTGTCATTCCTATTCACGCTTAGAGATAATCGTCTTAAATTTTCAAATCGTGGTAAGCTAATGACATCCGCATCCTCGAGTGATGTTCTGTAGATACACAATGATTCAACTTCGGGGATAGATAATAAAATCTCTAAAAGATTCACTCGCTCTTCTATTGGTAAAACGTTTAAGCATTTAATTCGTAGACATTTACTAAAATTATATTTTATGAAACAACATATTGATTTCAGGTAAATATCCAATTCTGCATATATTTTCACAATTGGAATGTTCATTAAAACACATGCCAACCCTCTTTCTGTAATTCTAGCATTAAATATTCTTAAAACTTTCAAATGTTCACATCGCACTTCTTCTGTATTTTCAGTGCTACGACATAAAACATAGAGTCCATTGTCTGTAATCGAACAAAACGATACATCTAAGCATTCTAAATATGTACACGTTTTTCCAATGATTTCTAACGTCGAGTCTGTAACGTTTGTTTGACTTAATTTCAAAACTATAATATTAGGCAAATGGCTGACAAGTTTTTGAATCATTCTTTCTGATAAAGGTACGCAATTTAAAATCATGCAAGTAATTCCCTGTAAAAAAGTATAATAATAAGAATAATAATGAATTCATTCAAAATAACAATAACTACAGTCGACCCCCTATAACACTGTTGATTTTTCCATTTTATATGAATTCCATGTTGTATGAGTCACTTAGATTTTACAAACATGTGAGCCGTTCACAGCCCGGCACACGTATTTGTAAAATCTAAGTGACTCGTACAACATGGAATTCGTATAAAACGGAATAATCAACAGTGTTATAGGGGGTCGACTGTATACGAATATTGTGAATTCTTACTTCAGAAATAGAAATGAACTTCTTTAATGGAATGTCCTCATTATAATATGGTAAATAAATTTCCTTGATTCCTTTTTTAAACAGGTAAAATAATAGTTCAGGGTTCAGAATAGTTGAGGCTATTTTCATAAAATTTTCACAAATATTTGGAGCTGCAAGTGATTTTAAAATAAAATTTGTTAAGTTTAATAGTTTACTAAATAATATTTTACTTCTGTTTTATTTTATTCTCTATACAGGCCGATGCATTTAATCTGAAAAAAGTGAAATATAGTAGACTCCCTGTAATCCTATATATATATAAGTTTTCATCAGGGGTGTAGCTATAAATTAAAAAGTGCCAGGGAGCTATATTGTTATATTACGTTCTAATTTATAATATAAATAATTATTAGGCTACTTACGAAAGCATTCAAACAAAGATTTAATTTGTAAACCTTGATTTTGATAATAATATAATATCGAATATAAATTATATTTGAAAGAAATCAAACACAATCGGCTGAGAGTAGTTTCTTCCATCGAATTTTATGGATTTAACATTTTACTTATAAAGATTTAACTATTTTGAATATAATAAATTTTAATTAATTGTTAAGTTTATAAAATTTATAACGTCAGATTTGTTTAAAGAATATTTTTAAAAAATATATTATTTCATAATAATACAGTAAAATACAAAATGGCGAATAATGAAGAATTACGTGTCACATAGAAAATATTTTTTGCTTCAGCGGAGGAATGTTTTATAATCGACACAAGCATTTTTAAATCCCCCCTTTTAGCCAAAATGACATTAAATTTGTAAGAAAAATTCTTGTTTTCAGGCTCATCACATGATTGCATGATCAGGCATAATCATGTTAAACTGGATCCGCAATAGAACACAAGGGAAATCTGCCAAAGAGGATACCTCACGAAAGGACTTTTTATGAGAAACTGTACGCTATTTGGGCTGCAATTTTTAAAAAAATTGTAGATCTATATAGTCCCACTGTCGTCCGTCTGTCTTTTTTTAATCTCGAGAAGAATGCTAGCTCAATGAAATTCAATAGCAAATGTGGAAAGCTTGGAAACAGAAGATCCCTATTATCTAATGCGAACTTACACCAATGCAAACCAGAAGTCACGTTATTTCAATTCAAATATTTTTCCCCGAAAGGAGTTAATAGATGACCGGCACGACTCTATTGTTAAAGGAAACGTATGATATACAGGGCAAGCCAATACTGATTTAAGGTAGAGAGCATATATGATTAGAAATTGCAATCCGGCATTGTGACCATGTCACAATAAATAATTGCTCGTTAGATGTTAATAATTGTGGATGTTTGTAAGCAGCTAAATCAGCAAAACAATGAAACAGTCCATTTCGTACATATTGTACCATTGGTTTGCTTACTTAGCAGTTTGCTACTTAGAAACAGTTTAGGTCATAATTCATTACAGACAATGAGAACAATAGTCGTGTACAGAATATTGTTATTTATATTTTCGGTAGTTTTTAATTTTCGAGTTATTAATATCATCAATACTTAAATCATGATAATATAATAATCTGGGGTGTTATTACAGTTTTTTACAATTAACATTTTTTGCATATTATATTTAGTTTAAACGTAATAGTTACATTATATCATTTGTCCAGGAAAAATTGCCGTAAATACTCTGATTGGAATCTGATACGTCTTACTAGTAGTTGACAATTTCGGCTTTATTTTGCTCCCCTCTTCGCTATCCTTTCTCTTTGTACTTTCTTTTGAAAACTGTATTTATTACACTGACTTGTTGAATCCATATAAGTTCTTTATTTGTTCCACTTGTTCATCTGCACATTCCTGTAATATCTTTCTTCAATGATGAGTCTTTAAATCAAAGTATTTCAGGGACCATTTTCATTTTCTTGCTATAAAATTTTCATTGATAATTCTTCATTTACTTTTATTTTCTTTCTGGTAAGATGTACCAATTCAGGTACATCTTTCACGGCCATTTTCCTGAAGCATTAAGAGATATTTGATAGTAAACAAAATTACCGATTCTTTAGAGTTCACACATTTTTCATTGGCTACACTTACTTTTTACTTTCGGCACTTATCCAAACAGAGAAAATACTCATTATGAAACGAGAAATTCTCTTACTTAAAAATGCTCATAAGTAATGCTCATATTACTTGTCATATAACTCGTAGTATTTGAATTATGCGATACACTTAGTATTTGTATACTCGTAGTATTTGAGTCGATGAATCATACAGTAGACCCCCCTATAACGTGGTAGATACGTTCCACTTTATAAGAATTTCACGTTGTAGGAATCTTTAAATACATGAGCCAATCGCAGCCCGACACGTGTGAAGTTTACGGACTACGGCTGTTTGAAAGGTTTTCTTCCATAAAATTAATCGATTCTTGACTAATTCGACTCAACATTTCCAAAACACGTATATTTTTTTGGGAATAATCCGTATAAACTATGCTATAAACAAAAAATTGTATGATTACTTACCGAGTGTGCACCGTTCGACGTCGCCATTGCTTAAGCTTGTTTTCGTCGCGGAGCAGCGCACCAAACGGCGGCCGCGATTTCTGATAAGTTATTTTTCTGCGAAAACTTCGTTGAACTTTGGAGACATCATTAATATAAATAATTTTAATGGCCGTTGAATAAGAAATGTTTCTTTCACAAGAAATGTATAAAATTACAGTACTGTATTAGACTTACGGTACCTAATTTACATACTGTACAGACGATAGTAAACTCAACTTACTCGCCTAAACTCTCTGTAGCGTGCAAGTAGTTTGGCTGCTCGTCTACTATTGGTCCAGATTCGACCAATCCTGTCGCGACACGAGTCGGCGACGACGTTTTACGAGTCCCTTTTAACGTCTTTATACGAATACTGTCGTAATTTTTTCGCCACGTTATAAGAATCTATGTTATAGGAACCCGTGTTATAGGGGGTCTACTGTAATTACAATTTCATTGCTCTTGTACCAACCGCAAAAGCCTTTATTAATTGTAAGTGATGTAGATTATAAATTAATTTTTGGTTTTATAAACTATAATTTTTTATAGTTTAAACTGCAAAATACAAAAATTTTCTTGAGCTTTAGCTACGGGGGATGGAATATAAGAGTGATTGGGAGTGGAGTCCCATACGATATTTTTTCTAGTGTTTTGAAGAATATTCATGCCAAATTTGGTGTTGATACATTGAACTATATGGAATCGTTTACCTAACACACATACATATTTTGACTTTTATATACAGGTATCTTTCGTATAACACTGTTCGAAAATTTGACACATTCCTGTAGAAAACGTCACGATTTTTAAGTGCAAACATCATCATTCGATATTTTCTTTTATTCAAGCAATCACACGTGTTGTTTCGTATTTGCCCAACATTTATTTGATTAAGGCAACGCAACACATGGGCAAACTGCCAGAGAGGATGCCTTCTGGATGGGAAACTGTCCCCTATTTAGATGTTACTGACGTGAAGAAAATCCGGAAAATTCCACGTGGCCAGACACGAACCCGCGACCAACTACCAGTGTTCAGTTTTATCCTCTCGGCCACTGATGGGCTCATTTGACCACGGATTTTAGAATAATGAAATTTTCAATATTGTTTCGCGCGGTTTTCTTTAATGGAAACCGATCGTACAAGTTTCTTTTCCTTTGTCCTAACTTTCCCATAAACCAGGTATCCCTGTCGTTGGTGATAGAGCTCTAAATGAACCCGAAAGCAGCATGGATCCAGGCAAATTTAAATTAGGAGCCCCATGTACAGTGCTGATTTCTTCCAGGAAATTTTTCAGGGAAAATATTTTCTCATGATAGACTGGTTTGGGGGCCCCCAAGCCCCTGGCAATTTTTGCCCATAGGCTAAAGCATTACTGACCTTAGGGGAGAACTGTAATAGGCAGGGGCGGATCCAGGATTTACAGGGCCTAGGGCTTATTGAAGTCTTAATGGGGCCCCATTTTTTGTTAGATCAAGAATAAAACAAATATTATTATAAATTATCATTATTATTATATTATTAATATTAACTATTTTTTACTATACAATACGTGCTCATTGTCAATGAAAAAGCATTAAAAATGTATGATAATAATTCAATTTTTGTGGGCCTTTGACACTTTGGGACCCAGGGCTTAAGCCCCATTAGTCCCTATGTAGATCCGCCCCCGGTAATAGGTGGCAGTTCCCTTAGGTGATTGACAATGAAGACTGACAGATCGTTTTGGGGTAAGGAAACAAGTATAAAAAAAAACAATTAATGATGTATTTAAAATAATTTCGAAAGAAAATAGCTTGATCTAGGCAGATGCTATTGTTACTATGAATTATGCCCGCAATATAAGTAGCATTTTCTGGTTTCATAAATGTCATATGTATCATAAACTAAAGAGCATGACATCATCACAATGCAGGGCTGCAATGTTTTTTAATAATGTTCTCAATTTACTAGTGTCTTGCCCCTGTACATCATACTTTTCCTGTTAGAGTCGTGCCAGTCATCTATGTAACTCTCTTCAGGAGAAAAGTTTTGAATTAAAACAACGTGAGTTCCGGTCCAAACAGGACGTTCTTGTACAGTTAATTGGGGTCTCTTATCACCAAGCTTTCCATATCCGGTCTCGATTTAATCTATCTAACATCGTTAAGGAAGGCCAGTCAGACAGACAGATAATCTTGAAAAAAAGTAACTAAAAGCAATGCTTATCAACCTGTGGTCTGCGGACTGTTCGGAGTCACAAAAAGGTAAATCACGTGTTACAAAATCTCCCTAATCCAATGACAGCACGTTTATTATGTCATTGGCTTGCTTATCCAGCTGTATTAAAGCCACTTTACCAATGTAGCTCTGAAACTATTAATTAAATTAGCTTATTTTAGTGTTTTTTAATGTTGTTTATAGATCCTCGATTGTAAGGTGAAGTTGAGAAATCTTTGTAAAATACTCTATTATCACATTATCTAATACTTTATACAATACCCAGAACAAATTATTGTGTTAAATGTGGATTTTAAAAAGGTTACCCATCAGATCCACATCCAATCCACCATCAAATGAATTTGCTATTGTGATTTTCTGTGACCAATCTATAGTTTAATTTCAATAATTATTAATATTTTTATTATCATCATTATGTGATTCTATCCAGTAAACAAATTTTAAAATAATTCACAAGTAGACAGTTTTAAAAAAACAATGTAGTCCAGTAATTTTATTTACCAAATAAATCATACATTTAATGCAATTTTTTTCAATCAGGAACTCTAGATTTTTTTGTCTATGATATGCTGTAAACATTCTTTTAGCATCTTTATAACAAAATAAACAATATAAAAGAAATTATTCCATCATTTAGAGATGCCATATTCAAGATAAAAAGAAATTTAAACGTTAAATTTACAAATGAAATTATTCTATAACTGCACAGAAATTAATAAAACACTCCATTTGAAATAATAATTCAATTTATACTTATATAATGAATATTTTGTATTAATTATCATTAATAATATTCATTATTTAGTATTTTATTTTTTATAATTTAATTTTTAAGTATTTATTATTATTTTTATTATTATTTAAAGCTAA